GCCAGAAGACAAATCCGGCCCCAAAGCAGAGGAACTCATGACATGCAGAAATTTGAGTGATTCTGGGATCGACTGCGCTGAAGTGCTCCTTCATTGGAAGCTCACGACATGCGGCTCGCGGCCCGTCCTGCGCGACCACGGTTTCCCTGTGTCCTTGCCAGCGGTTAGTTGTGCTTGGTGGAAAGACGTCAGGGCGTTGCTTCTGCTTGAAGTGTGGGTGTAGGTCTTCAGTACTGTTGTCCCTGTATTTACTGTAGTTATTGTCTGGAGTAGTACTTTTGATCCTGCTGAATATTATTCTGTTTCCATCCTCATCCATCGTATTTTTTTTACTATTATCGCAATTTTCATCATTATCGTTCATCTTTTTTATCCCCTTCGTCATAAACTCGCGCAAATTTACTGTGACCAAGGAAGGTTCTTATCTCATCTTCTGTGACGGGTTTGAGTGGAGCAATTAGCGTGAAGTGGCCTCGAGAGTCCTCCGCCGAACCCAAGATATCGCACAGAGGGGCGCCTGACCAGTGGAAAATCCGAAACAGTTCTGTCGCTTTTGGGGAGAACGGAGATGAAAGGGTGTTATCATTTGCCCTGCCATACCAATATATGTGCATACATATATGTAATTGATTATTTCATGAAACATAAATACCCCAAATGTCTCCTGCTGAATCTCAGAGAGAAGGCGGAGAACATACTTACAAGATCCAACCCTTTGATGTCTTCCAATTTCCTTGTATTACCTCCGTGTAATCTCTCCCAGGCGATCAGCAAATACTTTGGCAATACAGTGAACATCGCCATGGACATCTACCGAACTGGAAAGAAGCAGAAATGATACATGAATGATTAAATAGATACAAAAGGAAGGTTATGGAAGCTTCATACATCGCGACAGAGAAAAATCAGACCACCGCATCGGGTAGATTCAGACTATCTAAGGTCGCGGCAGCAATTATGCGCATAATGAGTGCGAGGTCATGATTATCAGGTGATTCATCAGCTCCCATGTGATGTAGATATGCTGCGTATTTTCTCAAATGTATGTATTTCTGACGAAGATATATGCGAAACCGGTCAAACACATCTCTTATATTGTGAAGATATCCATTCTCATCCATACCTTTCCACATACATACACACACACACACACACACACACACACACACACACACACACACACACACACACACACACACACACACACATATATATATATATATATATATATATATATATACGTAGATATACATATACATAGACACTTATACACATACATATACACTTGTACACATACACATACATATACACTTGTACACATACACATACATATACACTTATACATACACATACACGTATACACTTATGCACATACATATATAATATACATATACACATATACGCACATACATATACACATATACACATATACGCACATACATATACACATATACGCACATACATATACACATGCACATATACATATACACATACATATTCACATACACATATGCATATACACATACATATACATATATACTTAAGTGTGTGTTTGCATTTGCGTATGACCCGAGTTCATTTCCAGACGCCCGCGGCGAGCGCCGGCCAGGAGACCTGCGACCCTGTAACTTGCTTCATGGCCAATAGTAAGTTCAGTTTCACTCTCACTTTCTTTGTATTAAGTGGAATTTTGTCCTTTATTGCCCCGCCGCAAGGGATTGTGTAGCTAACAAGCTCTTCAGACTAACTGATAGAGCTTCCTTTTAACTTTCCGGAGTGATGACTGACTAGCCGCCCGTTTCCTGCGCCGCCAGGTCTGCGCGGCCTGCAGTGGCAGTTCGAGCCAGAGTTCAAAGTCCTGTACTTCAGCGTGCAGCCGCGGGGCGGCGCCCGCGAGCACGTCTACCGGTCCATCAACCTGTGCAAGCGCTGTTCGCCGTATAGGTTCTGGCATTCCATGGAAACCCTCCGCCAAAGGCACCCAGACGCAAAGTAGGTTGAGAGCACACTTGCAACAGCGTTTAAGAATGCATTTTTTCAGCAATATATAATTAGGTCTTATTTGTCACTTGGAATTCTGAATCTTTCGAGGACACTCATAACTGTGGAGTAAGAGTTTTCTCTCGAATTTCCCCTTCAGAATAATTCTGTCCGTACACCAAGGGAAGGAGTATTACTCGTACTACACCGTGTGCCCCTGGAGGAAGGACCTGTACGGGCACATGGCCGACCTCGCTGTCAGCGAGACGCTGGATGTGCCTCAGCTGCTGGACCGCTACAGCGCTCTCTTCAGTAATTCTACACAAAGAAAAGCTCGGAAGAAAAAGAAACAATGATACTTTCGAGTTTAACTTTTCTTCTCTTATGTCTGCTGGTTAGATAGTCTTTATGCGGTGCAAATTGTTTTGGAAGAACTACTGCTTCTAGCTTCCAAACGAGAGGTAATCCTGGCTATGGTTTTAAGATACATAATAAAAATCTTGTTAGACTGAAAACGACAGTCCTGTTTCATGTTCATCCATCCTGGGCTGCTATCCCCAACTTCTCCCCGGAAGACAATGAAGCTTCCAAGAATATACGACAGGGTGGTGCGTAGGGCCGATCACAAGGAACTGACTGGTGAGTGCATTTTCTGTCCTACGGTCGTCTTGCCGTGGTCGCCCCGCATGTTGGTCGTACGCTCCATTGTCGCCCCTCCTATCCCTTGCTCGTTGTTATGGGGAGCGCAGGAGACGGAGTTTGAGGCTCAACGCCGGGGATCACCCTTACCTTGGACCTCAGCCTTCGCCTCAACTAATTTTGCTTGGTCTTTCTCTCCCTTCACCCCCTTCTGTCTACTTCCTGGGGCAGTGGTTCCCAACCCCAAGGTCGCGACCCAAATGAGAGTTTTTCTGAGGGTCGCCAGTGGGTCTTAAAACCAGAATAAAAGAATACATAGCTGGATATGTCATTAAAAGTTAATGTTTTTTATATACATTTATTTATTGAAATTCAATGTGTTGGTAACATAAACTTATTTAAGTATAGAATAACGTAGGCCAATATACAGTTGCAAGAATGAAAATGGTAGGTATATTATTACATATTCATACATTTAAGGTCGCTAGCCCACGCTAAAATTGTCTTCAGGGTAGCACCCGAAAAAAAGTTTGGGAAACACTGTCCTAAAGCGTGAGATCCGTGCTCAAAGGATGAAAGGCTGGCCTTGTGTCGGTCATGAAAGGCCTCTGGTTGCCATGGGCACGGTATTCCTTGGTTAATCGCTTAGCCCTTACCCCTTATGGAGACCCTGAGGGTCAGATCGTTCCACTTAGTTCAGGCTTACCATGGCCAATAATGAAGGTGTTTTACCCTTATTAGGGGCATTAAGGCTTGTCCCGTTCAACTAGCCTATCTAATTCTGATTTTTCTGGTTTCCCGACCCCCGTCTCTCCTTTGACCATGGCTCCGATATTAATTCCTACTCCTTGATGTTTGCTGTCAGCTCTATCCATTCCGAATCATCCAGCCAGGTCATTGCTCATCCATCAGAATATTCCTCTGCATCTCCTACTGCAGTCTTCATTGTCCACCGCCTCACAGTACTACCTCACTCCACACAACCCACCTTCCTCCTGCGTTCGTCCTACTGCATGCAATTCTACAAACCTTATGAGTACTTTATTGGCCCAGCCAAGTGGGATCGATTCTTTATGATTTCCCCTTAATAGAGCGGGAGCCCACAGGGGTAAGGGTAGCTAGAAAGGTAACAAACTTGGGAATCCACAGCAAGGGTCTGCCTTCTTAGATGTACAGAGAAGTGGACATATGTTGGTCAGACGGACAGGGTGTGGTATACACGGTCATAAAAAGGTAAAAACTAAGCTAGATTAGCCCGATCAGATAACAAGCCAAATCAAGGGAAAATATGTCGAGTATGACGTGGTTTTATGAAATGACAAATGGCAGATAATTTCATTGGTGGGGCACCATTGACAGAGCCCAAGAACTAGAACATAAAGATCAAGCTATATCAGTTCAGACTTAAGACCAACTTCAAATGATACAGTGATGCCAACACTATCAGAAAATACCAATGTGAGACTTTCAGTGGTGGTGGTGGGGATATATATATATATATATATATATAATATATATATATATATATATATCAATAGAACTGATTCCGACAGGGGCGCATAGCCGCATGTAACCTCTGCTTCCAGCCACGAGGGTCCCTCATGGCGTGCCGCCAGGTAGGTCCTCGGCCCATCTCTAACCTCATGACAAGTCTGGTCGATCTTCCTAGGGCGTCCCACGGGATAACCTGAAGGGCAGGGTCATCCACTGGGTAACGAGCTAGGTGCCATATAGCCTCAGGTGGCGGTCGCGGGTTATGCAAGTAATAGGACCCATGCCAGTCTCATGGTGTACCAGTCGGTTAGACGCATGCCCCTGCCAAGTGTAACCTACGACACCCGCCTAGAGACTTCTGAGAAAAGGCAAGGCACTAGATATAATCCAGGTTTCGCTTCCATAAAGCAAAACTGGCAGTATTAAGGCCTTCAAGTTCACGGCTCTTGCTGCCTGACCAATCCGTCCAGACTTCTTGGTCTGACAGTCCAGAGAAATACAATGCACTACCAAAGTACGTAAAGGTCTCTGTGACGTCAGCGTCCTCACCGCAAGCTTGTCTCGACTGAACAGGTTCCCCTAACATGTCCCCAGTATCCTGGATCTTTTTCTTGGTCCAGAAGACCTCTCGGTCGAGGGGCTTCGCCTCGTTGCTAAATGCACCAAGAGCCGCCCCCAGAGATTCCAGACTCAGGATAGCAAAAATCATCAGCAAAGTTGTTGTCCGTGACCTTGGTGTTGCCCAGTGTTGCTCCATATATATGTATAAAGACATATATATATATATACATATATATATATATATATATATATATATATATATATATATATGTATATGTATGTAATGTACATGTACAATGTTCTTTTTATTTCTAATGGTTTTGGGG